GGCATAAGCCCCTCATCAGTGACCTGAATGGCTTATGCCCATAGATGCTATTGCTAAAGTTGCAACTAGACATTGTTTATTTACTTGATGCTCAGGTTGCGCTATGAAAGTAAAGACGAGAAGATCTAAATGAAAGAAACAAGGAGGTATCAAGGCCAAATTTCATAGGATTTTTTTCAGGTGTTGGTTCTATAGCTATCAATGAGGAACTGTTTGACGTTGATGAAGGACTGGAAGGGCTAACGTCGGATGAGGACGAACCAGCCGCCTCGCAGCTTGTGAGCTGATAGCGTCCCATTTCACTGAGGAGCGCTGCTAAAGCCTTCATGTCCTGTTTTATGAGAACACTTGTATTAATGGCATTGTTTTATGTACTCGTATTTCGATTACGAATTCTTCCTTAATCGCTACTGACGTTATGGTAGCGGTCTTTCGGCTGTGGTTACTTGTTTTGACCTGGGTACTAGAGGTCGTTGCTAGAACACATCGCTGTTTGTTAGTAGTTATTTGTGAAATTTTCTGTTGAGGTTTGGTTTGGTGCGCCTTTGCTAGAGTTAACACATGTTAGTTAAATATATTTCCTCATGACGTCACAAGAGTTCTATTACCACCGGTGATTTTGTGGCCGTATGAGTTCAGTGACGACTCAATTATGTCTGTGGGTGGATCGCTGGTGTCCATTGCTTCGATCAATAAATTTTTTCTCACTACCTTGTTGGATTTTCAATCGATCTGTCAATGACAAGTATTTATTCTATCTTATTGATTACATAATTTTTTTGCCAAACTCTTCCTCTTTGTTTTCCTTGATCAAATTCCTTTTCTTCAGTTATGGCATCTCGTACTACTAGAATAGCTTTGCGAAATATTCCACGTTTGATCCAACAGTCGCAAGCGCAATGGTGCCCATTTCTCATTTTTCCCGTCCGAAGTGAAACCAGAAATAGCCAGTGGTACGTTCAATTCAAAATTTGTCGCACTTGGAATTTTACAGTGCTGCGCTTAGATCATGGTGCCCCTCTCAAATCTCTCTGAAGGGTCGGAACGTTTTAAATTTGGAGAGAAGGCACTGCCTTCGTTTTTCTACCATTTTCATTAGTGAATGTTCTTTAACTGAAGGTCCAACCCTTCGTTTTCTGCCCTTTTCATTTTCAAATATTCTTCAGCTGGAGGTCCAACCGAGAAAATGAACGTCTGCCAAGCTGTGAATAGTGCTTTACATGTCGCTATGGAAACGGACAAAACGGCAGTACTTTTTGGTGAAGACGTTGCATTTGGTGGTGTGTTTAGGTGTTCCGTCGGGTTGAAAGACAAGTACGGTAAGTGCGAAAATGATTTAGCCCTTCAAATACTCTCTTCATGTCTGAATTTAAGGCGCAGATAGAGTGTTCAACACTCCTTTGTGTGAACAAGGTATCGTCGGTTTTGGCATAGGTGTAGCTGTAGGCGGAAGTACGGCGATAGCTGAGATCCAGTTTAGTGACTATATCTTCCCAGCGTACGATCAGGTACTAGGATTTGAATTTTCCTGTGGGTCAGTGCTGTTGGGTATGTTGTATGGTTGCAGTTAGTAAACGAAGCAGCTAAGTATCGATACCGTAGCGGTGGGATGTTCAACTGCGGCTCCCTGACGGTGAGATCCACTTATGGTGCCGTCGGACATGGTGGTTTGTATCACTCGCAGAGCCCAGAGGCGCACTTCACTCATACTCCTGGGTTGAAGGTGAGAGTTTTCCCTATCTCTAGTTCTAGAATGGTCTTCCGAGAATTATTGTTGAAATAGGTGGATTTTAGCCATAATTTAGGTTGTGATACCCCGAGGCCCCGTTCAAGCGAAAGGACTTCTATTATCTTGCATTCGCGACCCGGATCCATGCATTTTTTGTCGAACCTAAAGTGCGTGCGCACTTAATTTTTGATTATAGAAAGGTTTTATAGTTCTAACTATTCCAGATACTCTATAGAATTGCAGCAGAAGAAGTACCGACGGGAGATTACACAATTCCCCTTGGTCAGGCTGAGGTCGTCCTGAAAGGTGCGTCTTCACAAAATTCAAAAGGCGGCTTCCATTGTGTGAGCGGCGAGGTATCTTCTTTGCAGGCTCTGACATGACAATAGTTACATGGGGAACCCAAGTTCATGTTGCACTCGAAGCTGCACAAATGGCCAAAGAGCAGTTGGGAATGTCCATTGAAGTTATCGATCTCGCAACGATCCTCCCCTGGGATGAAGATACAGTTGTTGAGGTGAGTAATAAGGGATACATGTATGAAAGACGCAGTTTGGCTACGGGGGGAGGGGGAGGGAGGGGCAATCCGACTTGTGGAGCTATCGAGAGGAGACCTGTGCAAACTCGGGAAAGCCCGAAATGATACCAGCCAAAGTTTGTAGGGATCACTTGTCAACTCTTGTGAAGAGTGTTTGTTTACTCTTGATACCATATAAATACCATTTACCATGATGGCTCGACGAGCTTCCTTGAGCTTCACAACAGTCACAGGTCTCAACTCGGTAAGACATGTAAACTGCAACTACTTATGGAACGTAGGGCATGTCGGCGTGTTGTGATCATTTCCTGAAAAATACGACCCCCCCTAATTCCATCCTCAATACGACCCCCCTCCGCTACCTACCACTTTCCTAGATTTTCTCCAACTTCCTACCACTTTTTTGAATTTTTTTCGCGAAAAATTTCCGAGTTTTCAGCCAAGAATTTTCCGTCGAG